ACCTTCTAATGCATATGTGGCATCTTGTATTTCTTATTTTGTTTACACATATCTTTGTAATCAGTTGTATTTAAGTTGACGTAGTGTTCTGTATCAATATTTTACTTAATCACTTTGATTTTATCTTCTTAAAGAAGGCACTCCCTAAAAAAAATACCATAAAAGTATTTCTCTTACTTATTCTATTATTAATTATTATAGCTTTTTTTTGGCCTTGAAATTCTTAATCCAAATGCAGAGACATGTGAAATAGTGTTTTTTTATATTCTTATAAATTGTTAGCCAATTGATCGAGCATTATTTATCACATATCAGGTTTTTTACTATTGATATAAGATGTCATTGTCATTTTATTCTTTACCTTTATTTACATTTTAGAAATACTACTCTTTTCTGGGGATATATATTTTTAAAACTTTGATTATTACATTTTGTTCATTATAATAACTTTATATTACATTTTGATATATTAAAGGATATCACTTCTCTTTTTTGTTTTCTAATATACTGAATATATTTTCACATTTAGAACCTAATACATTTTAGAATCCATCTGTCACTATTCACTGAAAATGATTGTATGTTATTGATTGATAATGATTTGAAATTATGACAGGGTTAATGGGAGAATTCACATATTTTCACTATTGAGTATTCATTATTATTTTCAGGAAAGGAATAAAGGACTTTATGTTCTTTAGTAAATTTGAAAAGACCTCCCCTATCTCTGCCAAACACAAACTTTTGTTATACCAATGTATTCTACAGTTTTCTGGCTATTGTAAATAAATCCTTATTTTTATAAAATTTCATCAGTGTTGTTTAATTTTTGTGAACAGAAAAAGCTATTAATTTGTGACACTGATCTATGCAATCACTTTGGTAGACTCTACTTTAAGACTGTGCAGTCTATTCTTTTGGATTTTTCAAGTAAAAAATCAACTAAAACCTAAATACATTTTTGTTTCTTTTCAAAGGTAACTCTATCTCCTTTTATTTATTTGTCTTTTTCATTTACTAAGACTGTTTCATAAAATGCTGAATAGTAGTTGTGTTAGTAGATATTGTTGGGGCTCAGGGCAGATCACCCCAAAATATGACAGAATATGGCTTATTGATTATTTTGAATTAAAGTTACTTAAGAAACAGGCAATACAAGAAGGGCACGCTAATCCTCTTCTTTCTTTCTAAAAGCAGGAAACAAATCTGTCATGTAGAGAAACATCCTTATCACTAGAGATAGGGAATTCAGGGACCAGAAGGCTACGGAGACAAACCTTATTACTTCCTTATGAATTTGCTACCCCAAAACCAAACTCTGTTTAGATTCTTCACTAATTAAGCACCCAAGCCCAAGGTTCTTTGTCTTGGCAATTTCTCACAAATCTGTTGTCTTTGTCTAAAGAGTATGAAGCTGCCTGCTTTGGCCACTTCTTAGGTTCCATTTCAATGAGACTTCCATACATACAACTTAAATTCTTTTTTCACTTGTTAATCTGTCTGGTTTCAATTCAATTATTAGACTAGTCGAAAGAACTCAGTAATGACGGGGAAATTTTCCTTTATCCTTTCACTTATTTTAATAAAAATGCTTTTCATATGTCAACAGTAAATGTTTGCTTCAAATTTCTGAAAGATACCTTTCATTTGGAAACTTATTTTCTTCCTAAACATTAAAAAAATTATTATGAATTACCATTGCATTTTCTGATTTTTTCCTCATCTCTTGAGAAAATCACGTTTTGCCTCCTTTACTCTGCTGGTGTAGTCATACCATGTGGATAGATTTCTTAAGATGACTAATTTCTTCACTCATAAGACAAAATCTCCTGTGTCAAAGTCCAATATTCTTTAAAAGCACAGTTGCATCTAGCTGGAGAAAAAATTATATATAATCTTTGTATATGTCATCCTAAGTAATTAGATGAATAACTTTCCATCTTTTTTTTTTCTCCTGGTTGCAAAACACATGCTGATTTGTTTGTGAGACATAGGTACTCTTTGAATTTTTTCCAGTTTTATTGAAATACAATTAACATACATCACTGTATAAATTTAAAATGTACTTTACATCTTTTCATATGCTCTAGAATAGGGTTTCTCAACCTCTGCTCTATTGACATTTGAGGCTGGATAATCTTTGCCATCTTGTGTATTTTTGGATGTAAGCCTCCCTGGCCTCTACCACTAGATGCCAGTAGCATTCCTTCCCCAGTTGTGACAAACAAAACTGTCTCCAGGCATTGCCAAATGACCCTGCGGCTCAAAATCTCTCTTCTGCTCTACTAGAATTTGTATAGAATAGAAATACTCTACTTTTTTCTTTAAGTCTGGTTTTGTGGGAGTTTTTCCTGTCATTACCATTTCTTCTACTCTGAATTTGCTTTCCTGGGCTAGTTTGGTGATTAATGTTTTCCTATAAATGTATCTATTTTATATCTACTGACAAATATAGAATTATACTATGCATACTGCTCTGATATAAAGTTTTATTTTGCTATACTTTTGTTTTCTTTTTCACTTCTTGTCCAGTTAATCATGCTTTTTCTAAACTTTCTTGACATCTCTTGAAAAAAGCTCACATACTTTATTTTTAAATAATCACCTTCGGTTTTATTGTTAACTCATTCATTTGTGCTTTTTTATCTTTATTAATTGCTTCTTTTTGATTCATTGCTTCTTTTGACATTTATTTAAATATTTTTCTAGCATCTTAAGTTGAAAACATAAAAAATAATATTTTATATCTTTGTTTTCTAATAAATGTATATTCTTCAGCCTATACATTGGACTCCAGTGCCTTGCCTCACAGGATCTGGTATCTGTTTCTCTAATTTTTATTAAGTTTGAAAGACTGTTTTCCTCACTTACATTTTCCTAGCATGGAGAAGATCCTTAATAAATGAATGCTACTGTTACTGTTTCGCAGCCCTTGTTATTTTATATTTATAACAAATTATTACTATTTGTATGTTAACATAATTGTTCAAACTATATAGTATGAAGATCAAAAATGGATTATTTTGTGTTTAAATAGAGCAGGAAGAAGAAGGAGAGGTATTAGAGGTTGAATAGAAAAGACTTGGTAATTTATTGGGAGTGGTGACGATTAGAAAAAAGAGAACAGGATAACTTTCAGAGCTTTTAATTAGATAACTGGCTAATTTTTGTGAAAAATTATAAACTTTATATAGAATATTTAGGAAGAAGAACAATTATTGGGGAAAATGATCTACTTGGTTTTCAAGATATTGAATTTGATTTAATCATGAGAAATCCATACAGGTATGTTCAGAAGAAAGTTCTATCTTCAGGTACCTGGACACTGGAGCTGGTTTTCAGATATTTATTAGAAATTTATCATTAAACTGGTGAAAGATGAAGCTGTAAAAATGGGTGAGATATTTTTTTAAATGGCTTGAGAGTGGGCAAAGTGCAGATACCTGAAGGATACCACATTTAAGGTTCTTTTGCCAGGGGAAGGGGGAAAAAATGATAGAAACTTATGCCATGTAATAATACACACGGAGAGAAAATTTCCAGAAGGGAAGTATCATCAGCACAATATGTAAGTGGTGGATAAATGAGATGGTCACTAAAATGAGTCAACTGCATTTGGCAGTTCTGCTTTGGTGTTGTTTTCCATAGTGACTGTATCCTCAACATCTAGTTCTCTGGGCCCTTTGTAAACAGATTATTCACGATTAGATTCCTTTCCTGAGAAACCTAAACAGCTTCATATCTGTACAAGTCACACAGAAATAGCATCTAAAACTTAGGACTCTACTCCAAAAATGCCACATTGACCACAGTGTATCTTGGAAAGCAAACACCTGAAAACCGCCAGGGACCTTCCTCAGACTGGGTTAGAGATTCCTCCTATGCATGTCTCAGCCTCACTGAATGAAGGCACTGGGGTCATAGCTGCAGGTTCCAACTTCAGCTCTTCAACTGCATAGCTGCACAATTTGGGGCAAATTACTTAATTACATTAAACATCAGCTTCTCTGTATGTATATTTGGGATGATATTTGCAGTACTTAATTGGATAGTTATGATTATTGGATCAGATTATGGATATGAAGATAATTGGATCTGGCACATAATATACGTTCAAGAAATGCTAGCTATTAGAGTTCTTTGTGTTTCGCAGTAGCCGATGCTATTCATTAAAGTGAGGTGCTTACTGCAATGTGATAAAATAATGACAAGGTTTGCCTTCTTCTTTCTTTCTTTCTCTCTTTATCTTTCTTTCTTACTCTTTCTCTCTCTCTTTCCTTCTTTTTCTTCACCTTTGTTATATATGTGGTTTCTCTCAGTATCTGCTATCTTTATAAAAACTTGGGGGATTATTTAACTGTTGAGTCTTGGTTTTGTCATATGCAAAACATATATACTCTAGGAGTTAGAATATGGATAAAATTATGTAATGCATACAAATATTTGTCAATAATACAGGGAACTCCTGACAAATCAGAGATATACTTATTTTTCTTAGGGTGATTCTTTGGACCACCCTGTCATTACATAGACATGGGTATCTTGAGGATGTCCTGACATCCTTCTGGATATATCCCAGGAAAGCCTCATAATATTCACATTTCAATTGTGAGCTGCTTTTTCAGTGTTTTATTCCAGGATCAATAAATTATTTTCAAAAAAAATACTGGAAACCAGATTTATCAGTATATTGTTTAGGTATTCTACTGGGGACTTCTAAAGTCAATTAAATTTAATGGATGATTTAAAATTGTGGTATTTGTTGCCAAAAATGAGAATTAGGGATGCAAGAAAATTTGATGTGAAACAATTCAGGGACTCCTCCCTTCTCAACAAATGAGAAATACTGAGACAGAAAAAGAGGCTTGCAGTTCTAGACAACTCAGAGAATAGGAAAGTTCTTGGAGAATCAGCAATAGTAATTCAGTGAATCCCAGAGTGCCAGAAAGATGGTCTAAGTGACAAGCTGTATTTTCATCATGTGTTATGTTTAATTATTCAAATATCTCTTGTCTTCTCAGTCCCTCATTATGCTGGTCCTCAACAATACCAGTGCTCAGCCTCTGACCTTCCTCTTGACGGGTATTCCAGGCTTGAGAGCAGTCCAGGTCTGGATCTCCATTCTATTTTGTCTCCTGTATGCCATCGCCCTGGCTGGGAACAGCATGATCCTGTTGGTGGTCCTCCATGAACAGAGCCTCCATGAGCCCATGTATTACTTCCTCTCTATGCTTTCAGCCACAGACCTGAGCTTGTCCCTATGCACACTTTGCACTACCCTTGGTGTCTTCTGGTTCGAAGCCCGAGAGATCAACTTAAACGCCTGCATCGCTCAGATGTTCTTTCTCCATGGATTTACTTTCATGGAGTCAGGGGTTCTTCTGGCCATGGCCTTTGATCGTTTTGTGGCCATCTGTGACCCACTGAGATACACGACCATCCTCACCAATGCCAGGATTGCCCAGATTGGGGTAAGCATGGCAATAAGAAATGTTGCTGTCATGTTGCCAGTTGTGCTCTGGGTCAAGCGGCTCTCCTTCTGCAGTTCTATGGTCCTTTCACATTCTTACTGCTAGCATGTTGATCTCATTCAACTCTCATACACAGACAACAGAATCAACAGCATCCTTGGTCTGTTTGCACTCTTCTCCACAACAGGGTTTGACTGTCCTTGCATCTTGCTCTCCTATGTCCTGATCATCTGGTCTGTCCTCAGCATTGCTTCCTTAGAGGGGCAGCAGAAAGCCTTCAACACCTGCATATCCCACATCAGTGCTGTTGCCATCTTCTACATCCCTCTCATCAGCCTGTCTCTTGTCCATCGCTATGGCCATTCAGCACCTCCATTTGTCCATACCATCATGGCCAATACCTTCTTGCTCATTCCTCCTGTGCTCAACCCTATCATCTACAGTGTGAAGACTAAGCAGATTCAAAAGGCTATTATCAAGGTCTTAATTCAGAAGTGGTTCCAAATCTAATCTTTAGTTATCTCAGAGTAAGTCCATTTATGAGTGAGTGCTTTGGTAGAATCGGGTAATTGTCCCCAAAGTGCCTAGATATGCCTCCAACAGTCCAGATTCTGCAACTTACAGGTTGTATGATATTTGCTTAGGTCCCCTTTCAGTTAAGCCCATATTAATACCACCTAAACTATAATTTTGTTTTCAAGATAAAGTGAAATAATGTAAGTTAACAACTATTTATATTTGCAGGTATTACGAGACCTGAATAAAATATTCATTCAGACTCTGTACACAATTATAACAATCCAGATTTAACTAGGAAACTCTGTTAACAAGACAGCTGTTATTTTCTGAATAATGTACAAAAAGTACTTTAATTAACTGGATTTTTTTCTTAAAACTCTCAATTCTCTGCATGCTTCTGAAATACACATACTATAGAGTGAATCCTAAAATACACAGGAATGTAATTTAACATTAGATCTTACGTAGGCCAAGTTATTTCTGCCCTTTATTATGTGTAGGGTCATATCCAATGTAAATAGAAAGGGCCATATAAAGTGCTCTGGATTTTGCACTGCTGCTGTTAGCTGAACGTTGAGCTTGTAATGCCATTACTAACATCCCAGGAGTGAGGATCACACTGTTTTCTCAACATTTTCCCCAGATTAGCCTTGGCAGAAGGGAGTTGCTCATGCCTTCTCTCTCTCTCTGCCATGATGACTTCACCTGTGCCCCAGGCGACCAGCAGTGGTATAGCTAAGGCTGGGTGATATTTACATGCTGGTTCTTTCCACTTGGTTGTTGAGTTCCTCTACTGGGGTGAGTACTGTTTGGTGGGTAGTAGTATGAGATAAAAAGATTTTCACCCTTTATGACCACTTCAATATGTACTTCATGTACATCTTCTACAGACTTCCTTGTCTCTCTTCTTTCAAATTTGCTAGTTCCATACCTGATCAACTATCCAAACCTTTCATGAAAGTACAGAAGCCTGTGCATATCCACATACATCAGACAGCCTCTCTTTTCACAAAAAGTTGACAACCAAGAGTACTGTACATTATGAGAATTTTCCTTCACTGTTCTTTTTATTGGCCACAATGTGTGGGGCTGTTGTGACATCATATTCTATTTTTGGTTAACACCAACTTGCCCACCAATCCAGCAGAAACCAAGCCTGAATATTTATCTTCTCTTCTAACAACTTACTGGGAACCTCCAGTAAGGCTATGGATGTGAAATAATGGAGAAGCATCCATATAAAAGTGATAGGTTCCATGGGATTCTGGAATAACTATTCACATTATTTATTTGTGCTTTTGTGATCTTGTACTTTGCCCTTCCTATCATAACAGTTTAAATTTCACAGATGTGGTAACATGAGATTTTCCCTAGCTACTAAATGTAATATTGCCAGTTACATACTTAGGCATCTATGGAATAAGCACAGGCAGAGCTAAGAATCATTGGGTTTACTATGAGATAAACTTTGTCCAGAATTCCATTAATCTTGCTTCAATAAACTCACGCTTTAACCAAAAAAGAGCAGGATGGTATGTTTGGGTGCCTATTATCAGTGAGAGATCATATCCTATATCCAGCAGTCCTCAAAGACTCTGAGTATTCTCCTCTGCCCAGTGAGCCAGCACATTTGGAAATGGACATATTTCCATGGATATTTTTTGTTTCATATTTACAGTGGCACTGCAGGTTATTTCATCAAGGGAACTAAGGCTCATGTGTAATTGATGGACACTGGGTATGTCAAGTGACTTAAATCTTTAAACAGGCTAAGGAACCACATTGTTCAGTTAGAGTGGATGATGTCAGTCTGACGCTCAGAAGTTCTCTATTTTAAATGTATTTCAAGTAACACCCTAGTCACTGTCCACTGAGCTTATCTGCAGGAATGCTATCATCTAATGGAACAGATCATAATGGGCACTGACACTGTGATTGTCGTTCTAGCCTTGCTACTCTCAACAGTAATTACTTACCTTACTTCTGATTGTTAAGTACTACCATGCGGTCTGAAAATCCGTCTATTCTCATTGTTACTAGGGAGTTTTTCCATAGAAGCAGCTTTCACTGCCAAGCCCAGTCTACAGAGAACAGCAACTACTGAATTATTCAAAGATGTCAGATACTCTCTTACAAATGCATTCTTTGTTGCTTAAGTGAAGGAATGCCCTCTCTTTCCTTCCAGAGAAAATAATCATGTGATAAATTATCTGGCCCTCCATGATACATCCATTCTAACATGTCCACCTCCTTGAGATTTCTATATGATGCCAACCAGATATGGCATCTCTATCTAATTTTCTATAGGCAATCATCATGTTAAAGCTTCAAGCAACCATCTCAACAGTGCATTATCACAGCAGGCAGGTTTCCTTGATATAACAGTGAACTCCAATCATGGATGAGTGTCCTCATGTCAATAAATTTCTCTCCATGTCAATTTATATTCATGCCACCAGCCATTTCCTCTACTGTCTCAGATTTAATACCTTTAAAATATGCTTCTACAAATGTTCATTAATTCAATGAGGTAAGATTCTGTAACGCCTTTAGTGGTTAAGCCATTTTCTTCCAAACTGTAATAACATTTCCCTGCTCATGCTTTGCTGAGATCTGACTGCTTATTGGCTTGGGTACAACGAGAAGTGATCTTGCATAGGAAAAATACTATCTTGAAAGGCACTGTATTCAGGCTTGGTTTTGTAAGGTATGCAGACAAGACAAAATAAATATCCTTTGTAAAATGACGAGAGTTTTTTTCGATGGCATGAGACATTGAAAGGTTTCAAGATTTTGGGGCTTATTCACTCAAATGCCATTGGGGTTATGAGTACATAAAGTTTACAAAAGTGGGCTCAGAAAGACTGCTAAGAGCAATTTCTTTTATGAGAAATATTTGTCATTGTTAAATTCATAGCCTTTTACACTAAAATAATAATATTAACAATAAGTGGAAAAGAGGAATCAGGGAAAGAAGAAATGAAACAGGAGGGACCAGGGCAGCAATGTGAATTGGAAGGATAATATAGGAGGAAGATAATACATTTTATTTCATTTTTTACCTGAATTTACCTACATTTACTTAGATAAATGGACCCTTTACTTAAATTAAGTCCCTCTAGGGCCAGAGTTCTCATAGCTATCTTCCCTGAAAAAACAAACAAAAAAAGAAGCAGTTTTTTTCTAGTACCAGCTGCTTTTCCTCCTGGTCCCATTTTGTGACCTGGAGACCAATGAATTTTGAACTCAGAATAATGCAGACATCTGTCAGAAAGTGCTGGGAGGAAGTAACATAGATGAACTTGAGCCATATAATTCCATTATGATCCTGAACTGATAAGTACGTCAAGGTTAGACATTTGTATTATTTTATCCAATGTATTTAACGGGAAATACATTTTGGGGGGGAGAAGTGGAAAACCAAAATTAATTATTTACGGGTCTCTTTTCTTTAAGTTTCTGCCTGACCTAATTTGATGACTGCAGCCCTCACCTCCAGCATACCCCCTCTTCTACTAACTTGAATACATTGTTGGCTTATCAAAGTTGATTCATTTATATCTGTTATACCATTTCAGGAGTAAGATGTTTTGCTAGATCTTATTTTCTACTCTCTGCCTGAAAATCATATGTCCTCCTATAACCACATTACCAGAATTACACCTTTTGTTTACTTCCAGTTTGCAAAGTTGAGAACTGGATAAAAACTGATTTCCTCTTCTACACCTGAGGGTCCAAGATACCAGACCGCTTGCAACCCTCAGCTTTCTGTTCTATAAAGTCAAATGCTTTCGGTTGTCAATAAAGGTGAAGGACTGAATATAAGACAATGAAAAAAAGAGGAGTTTATGATAAATTTGAGAGCTTGTGAACAACTTAAATGCATTCACAATAAAAATAAAATTGGACATTGTGATGACCAAATAGAACACCTCTGAGAGCAAAATTCCACACACGGTCTGTGATAGTCTTACACCAAGTCTGCTAAGGCATACACTTAATTTTGGAGCCATGGGCTGCCTTACCA